TGCTTAATTTTTGCTTCCTTAATAGTTTGCTAATTAATGAAATTTTATTTGAGTGGTAACAATTACAATTATTCAAGTCGATCTATCGATTCGGCAATTTGTCTCAGCTTACATACTTGTTGTGGAACATCGGGTTCTGGTAAATCCGCAAATTTAGACAATACTGGGTCATTTTTACGAAAATCTTCAAAGGTTACTTGTTTAGCTCTCTTTGGCAAAGAATGATACGTCTTTGTAATAGTTTTTTGCTTATCTGTTAAAGTTCGAATCTGAGCTTTAGCTTTTGACGGAATATAAATTTCTACTTGTCGGGCTGCATCATTTCCGGTAATTATTAAATTACCAGTTCTATTTTTCGTATACACATTAATCGCTTCTGGTTCAGGAGGGATCTTGTCAAAATATGTGTCACATGAAAAACCACATTGCTCGCTTTCGAGAAAACAAATTAAAAGTAATAAAATACCATAAGACAAGCTGGATGCAATCCCGGCAATTATGCCTGCTATAACACTTGCACTAAACCTAAGAATTAATCTAACTCTGTTATCGGTTGATGTCAAAAAATTTCCAATTGTGACTACAGTAGTTTGGTTTGGATTGATTAGTCTAAGCCCAACAAAACGAATTAAATTAGGTGTAATAATCAATGATTCATTGGTTAGTTTTTCTTTCGCAAGTTCAAAAACAATTCTTCGTAAGTTTTTATCTTTAACGTGATATATTCCATTATCGGAAATACAAGTTAGTATCGCCATTCCCAATTCATTGTCGTCAGTTAGGCTCGGTATTGCTCCACCACGAGGATTTTTTATTTCCACATCTCCTGGCGATTTTTTTGACAAGTAATTTGTTAAAATTTTTTTACAGACGCTTGTAACGTAAAATGTAACAATAAACGTGATTGCCATTAAATACAGATCGTTAATTTCATACGATCGAGTCTTGTAATTGACGAACAAAGTCATAAGTGAATCCTTTTTATCTGATTATTAATAATACAAATAATAATACTTTAACACGGTATTATTATAATCTCATATTATAATCTAAAATTGAAAAAATTAACTAACAACAGCTCATTTTGCGATATTCCTTATAATCGATTAGTCAAAAGAATAGAAGAAGATGAAGAGGGCTGAAACATCCTCTCAGAGGGCCCTAGAATGCCCTAGAATCCATTTTCAATCATTTCAGTTATTCAATACTTAATTTAGTTAGTTCCAACTAACATAAGATATAATAAGGAATTGTAATAGAAATTATGAAATTATTAAAAAAAAACTCAAAAATTTTTATTTGAAACTTCCTTTAAGATTTTAAGGAAGTTTGAAAAAATCTTAGAATTCTTTGTTTTTTACTTTAACCCTTCTAGATTCTTTGACAATTTCAGCATCTATAATAGCATCTTGATCTTCAGCTAGTTTGTCGATAAAATCTTTGAAGTAAACTGTTTTTCCTTTATTTCTTGGAATTTTCCTGCTGTGTAGGATTTCTTGAATCTGTTCTGGAGTAGGGTTTTCAATAAGTCCAAGCTCTTCTTTCATTCTCTCTTTGATAAATTGTTCAAAAGTTTGAGTTGAGTCAGAATGGAACTGTGGTAGAGGATTTTTATCCGAATTCCAAGGTTTCATTTCTAGACCAGTAGTTGGTTGTACTTCGCCCTCCATAAACAATACTCGAATTGTTTGTTGTAGTTCCTCATCCTCTAAGATTGTATGAAGCAGCTTTTTAAACTTCGAATAATCTCTCAAATTTGCTATTTGCTGTGTAACGCTACGTATGAAGAAAATTGAAAGTAATAATGGTGGAGCAACTAACCCTGCCGCTGCTGAAAACCAAGAAAGAACAAAACCTGCAGCACCACCTACAGTGCATGTGATCACGACCACTTGAGTACTTAATCCCTCAGTTAACAACAAATAACTAATGTCAATTCTACACTTATATAAAATAAGCTCTAAAAGTAACCGACCGTTTTTAAAAAAAATTCTAGCTACTCCTTTTAACTCGCGTTCTTTAAGAAAGCTAGCTAGTCGTTCCACTATTCCTTTAATTTTTTGTGCCAGAGTAAACACCGATTCATTAGAAACACTCATATCTCCTTGAAAATGTTCAAATTGCCCACCGCGATTTCCTAAAGCGAATTTATAAATCTTTCTAATTCTCATTTCCTTAGAATTGGAAATCGGGCTATCTGATTTAATCACTAAGGTTGATTTTTGAAGAAGGGAATTTTTTAATCGTTTCATGGCTTGTTCTTCCGATAAATAGTCTTTCAAACGGGAAGCTGTAAGACTTCCTAGAACAAATGATAGTATAACAATATCGATAAGATCGATTTCCCAAATGCGTAAAATACGATTGTAGTACATAAAACCCCTCTTTGTAAGTTTATAAGTATAGTATATTAATCTTATATTATAAGATGAAATTGAAAAAATTAACTCGAATTTCTATCTTTTATCTCAAACTAGTAGTTTGTGTCGGTGGATACTAGAACTAGAATCCAGAAAAGACAATTTGAGATTAACCAAATCAATTATGAAACAAATGATAGAAGAAGATTCCAACAATCTTTTCCTAGTCTAATCTTCGAAAACTAGTTGTAGAAGGATTGTTAGTACTCAGTAAATTTTTTTATTCTTTCTAGAATTCCTACTTATAGAATTAATAATTTATTAATATACGTTTAGATATGCATAAATAAATTATAATAGTATGTAGCTCTGTTGAAAAAGAATGATGGAGTATTTTTTTATTAACCAAATAAAACGGACTATGTCGCATCTTACATACATGAAAACTCAGTTTCAAAATTTAGCATATTTAGAAAAAGCTTTAACAAAACTAAATATTGGTTTTAATAAAGAGTTATCTGGTTCTGAATTCTTAGACAAAGATTTAGTGATTTCGCAGTCAAATGGTCATTCGATTGAATTTTCTTGGAATGGACACGAATACGAATTGGTGGCAGATTTAAGTTTCTGGAATCAACCTTATCCTGTCCAAAGTTTTATTGACAAAGTAGCCCAAAATTATGCGAATGAAACTGTAATTGGTGAAAGTCAAAAGATTGGCTTTCAAGTTATTAATTCGCAACAAAATTCAGATGGTTCTCAGACGTTAATCTTAGAACGTTGGAACTCGAATCTATCTTAAACTTATTGGTATTCAATTTTCCAATAAAATGAAATACTTGTCTCAGAATCATTTGTACCAATTTTATCCTTATGTATACTTTTATCTAAGGATGATAATCATCCATCGGGGATGATGGATGATGAAAAAATTAAATCTAAGCAAAGTTATCTATTCAACTATCACGCTGATGATGGTTTGATGAGAGAAACAAGCAAAAATTGAATGAAGAATTTCCATTCAAATTTTATCTTTGGAGTAGTAGAGTAGTCTACCCGCTCCAATCAATTGCTGGAATAGAATAACCTGGATCGAAATCCTCAATTCCTATTGGAAATTCAAACTTTTTAAAAATTAAAAATTAAAATATTTAATATTTAAGCAACTACCATTAGGTAAACTAATATTACGATATTTAGTTTTTGTTGGAATACCTTATCTTTTGGCTCGGCGTTTAGAGAAGTTTCTCATGAATCAGATTGATCCAGAGACAAAAGCTAAATTAAACGAGAAATTAAAAAAATTTCCGGATGTTGCAAATATATCCGAAAGTTCTAAAAACGGTTTAGATAACCGTGGGGGAGCTGCTAATCCTGTTTTATTTTGGATTTGTAAAATAATAGTTTCAGATTTTGCAGCAAAAACTGCTATTGCTGGTGCAATAGGTGCTACAATTTGGGGTAGTACTGCGGATGAAGCAGCGGGAGCTCTAGCTAAATACGGGGCTGCTATACTTAATGCACCAGGTAATAAATTTAGAAAACTTTTTAATAAATTAAAAGGTATTGAACACCACGAACGAGATATCAGAGAAATTATTTTAGACAAAAGTTTAACTGTTTCAGATAAACTAGAATTACTTCAAATAAAAGTCGAACAAGCCATAAGAGAGTTAAAAGGTCCGAGACGTGTAAGATTTATTCTATTCGTTATATCAACATTATTATTCTTATTTGGTGGTGGGGCATTGTTTGAAGCTGGAAATTTGGTTACTTTTTCAGCGCTTTTGGAGCGATTAAGAGCATTTCTTGGTGTAGAGAGTACCGAAGAAGACTTAAAAAATGCACTTATTGAAGTCTATCGTGAGTATAATGCACCTCTGCCGGAAGAAATAAAACAAGTAATTCAGAATCTTGACTAACTTTGTAGTGATACATTTGTCAATGTGTTGTAACATGTTAGCTGTTACTAACAAAAGGAACTGAAGATAGGAAATAATTCAAGGACTTGGAGGAAAAAATAGACAAATAAAAGAACGAGAATTCCTAAATTTTACTAGAATCTGCTAATTCGGTTATCAGTAAGAGTTTTTATCTGCGGTAACAACGAAATACTACTCTATTCAATCGATGTTAATTTTCTACCATTTATTACCATTAATAAATGATAATAAATGATAATTATTTATCAAAAATAGCATATTTTGCACACCATGCTATGGCCGCACCACAGGCAAACGCAGCAAATACCGGCATATTCGCTGAAGCGGCGGGGTGTGCTACTAAGTCGATAGCTTTTCCTGGGTTTGCTTTAGAACAAACTGACGTGATCGCGGCACAGGCTACTGCATTGGATAAACGTCGTGAGACTTCTTTTTTGCTTGTTCTAACTACGGCCACATCGTCAGCAAAAGCTGGTTTAGCTGAGACCAAAATAACCGCCCCAGCCCCTAAGCAAAACGCAAAGGCCGATTTTTTAGTAGTCGAAAATAAGGCTTCTCGATTTAGCGCTGTTCGCTGATCATCCAGTGTTAATTCGTCGTGCGATAAATTTCTAGTATAATTCAAATACATGGCACTATTTATATATATGTATACATTATATATTGTAGACTAAAGTCGTAAAAAATGGTAAAAAAACTTTGGCATTGAACTATCTTCCCGGCAGGTCCCCCCACAAGTATTGTCGTCGATTTATAACGTTTCACAGCTGAGTTCGAGATGGATCAGCGTGGTTCCGTTGAATACACTAAAAACACCAAAGCAAAAATAGTTACTAATCTAGGATTAGTAACTATGAAAATTCAAGTCCTCGGTCTGTTAGGACATCTCAGCTCTTATATTACTATAGTTCCACTTAATGCCTATCAAACGGTTAGTCTTACCGTGACCTTACTCACTTTCGTGATGAGAATACTTATCTTGAGGTGGGCTTCCCACTTAGATGCTTTCAGCGGTTATCCTCTCCATACATAGCTACCCAGCGTTTACCGTTGGCACGATAACTGGTACACCAGAGGTATGTCCTTCTCGGTCCTCTCGTACTAAAGAAGGCTCCTCTCAATATTCTAACGCCTACACCGGATATGGACCGAACTGTCTCACGACGTTCTGAACCCAGCTCGCGTACCGCTTTCATGGGCGAACAGCCCAACCCTTGGGACGTACTACCGCCCCAGGATGCGATGAGCCGACATCGAGGTGCCAAACCTCCCCGTCGATGTGAACTCTTGGGGGAGATCAGCCTGTTATCCCTAGAGTAACTTTTATCCGTTGAGTGACGGCCTTTCCACTCAGCACCGTCAGATCACTAAGACCGACTTTCGTCCCTGCTCGACTTGTAGGTCTCACAGTCAAGCTTCCTTATGCCTTTACACTCTAGATACGATTTCTACACGTTCAGAGGAAACCTTTGTACGCCTCCGTTACCATTTGGGAGGCGACCGCCCCAGTCAAACTGCCCGCCTGAAACTGTTCTTTGACCAGATCATGATTCAAAGTTAGAAATCTAACATTACCAGAGTGGTATCTCACTGATGGCTCCTTCATTCCCGCAAGAATGAGCTCTAAGCCTCCCACCTATACTGCGCAAGTAAAGTCCAATTTCAATCTCAAGTTACAGTAAAGCTTCATAGGGTCTTTCTGTCCAGGTGCAGGTAGTCCGCATCTTCACAGACAAGTCTATTTCACCGAGCCCCTCTCCGAGACAGTATCCAAATCATTACGCCTTTCGTGCGGGTCGGAACTTACCCGACAAGGAATTTCGCTACCTTAGGACCGTTATAGTTACGGCCGCCGTTCACCAGGGCTTCAGTTATCAGCTTCGCAAGTGCTAACCAACTTCTTTAACCTTCTGGCACTGGGCAGGCGTCAGCCCCCATACATCGTCTTACGACTTAGCGGAGACCTGTGTTTTTGATAAACAGTTGCTTGGATCTTGTTATTGCAACCTTACGAATAAGGCACTCCTTCTCCCGAAGTTACGGAGTCATTTTGCCGAGTTCCTTAGAGAGAGTTATCTCGCGCCCCTTAGTATACTCTACTTACCCACCTGTGTCGGTTATGGTACAGGCATTAGTTATTTTTGACAGTGCGAGCTTTTCTTGGAAGTCTGACATAGACTGCTTCGATGCCTTAGCATCTCGTCATCACGCCTCAACTCAAAACGTTTTCTCCGTTTCTCATCGCCTCGAACGCTTGAACCGGTAACCAACATCCGGCCAGCTTAGCCTTCTCCGTCCCTCGTTATCAATAAATAATGGTACGGGAATATTAACCCGTTGTCCATCGACTACGCTTATCAGCCTCGCCTTAGGTCCTGACTTACCCTCCGCGGACGAGCCTTCCGGAGGAAACCTTGGGTTTTCGGGGTATAGGATTCTCACCTATATTTTCGTTACTCAAGCCGACATTCTCACTTCTGCTTCGTCCATATCCGCTTCCGCTAATACTTCAACCTACAACAGAACGCTCCCCTACCGATATAGTTGTTCTATATCGCACAGTTTCGGCAAATTACTTAGTCCCGTACATTTTCGGCGCAGGTTTACTCGATCAGTGAGCTATTACGCACTCTTTAAAGGATTGCTGCTTCTAAGCAAACCTCCTGATTGTTTTTGCACTCCCACCTCCTTTATCACTTAGTAATTATTTAGGGGCCTTAACTGGTGCTCTGGGCTGTTTCCCTCTTGACAATGGAGCTTATCCCCCACAGTCTCACTGATAAACTTTTCACTTAGTATTCTTAGTTTGCAACGATTTGGTACCGAATGACCAGCCCGCATACGTAACAGTGCTTTACCCCTAAGTTGGACTATTTATCGCTGCGCCAAAACGCATTTCGGGGAGAACCAGCTAGCTCCGAATTCGATTGGCATTTCACCCCTAACCACAGTTCATCCGCTGATTTTTCAACATCAGTCGGTTCGGTCCTCCACTTAGTGTTACTTAAGCTTCAACCTGACCATGGTTAGATCATCCGGGTTCGGGTCTATAACCAGTGACATATGCCCTATTCAGGCTCGCTTTCACTATGGCTCCAGCATTCTCTGCTTTAACCTGCCACTACCTATAAGTCGCCGGCTCATTCTTCAACAGGCACGCAGTCAGACGTTTAAGTCGTCCTCCTACTGATTGTAAGTTTATGGTTTCATGTTCTTTTCACTCCCCTCCCGGGGTTCTTTTCACCTTTCCCTCACGGTACTCTTTCACTATCGGTCATTTAGGAATATTTAGCCTTACGAGGTGGTCCTCGCAGATTCACACGGAATTTCACGTGCTCCATGCTACTTGGGATTCAATTTGATTGTTTCAATTTTCGACTACAAGACTTTCACTTTCTTTGGTTAAGCATTCCAACTTATTCATCTAATTGTCCGAATCGTTTACCAATTGTCCCGCTACCCTTATTAATAGTTAATAAGTTTAGGCTTCTCCCGTTTCGCTCGCCGCTACTCAGGGAATCGTTTGTTACTTTCTTTTCCTCTAGGTACTAAGATGTTTCAGTTCCCTAGGTTCGCTCTTGCTTATCTATGAATTCAATAAGTAGTATCAAAAGTTTCCTTATTCGGAGACCTCCGGATCATAGTTTGTTTCCAACTCCCCGAAGCGTTTCGCCGGTAACCGCGTCCTTCATCGCTTCTAAATGCCAAGGTATCCCCCATAAACTCTTAGTTCCTTGAATTTAAAACAATTTTGAAAAATCTTCAGTTTTTCGTGTGGAGGTAAGCGGATTCGAACCGCTGACAACCGCCGTGCAAAGGCGATGCTCTACCAACTGAGCTATACCCCCGCTGGGCCATTCTGGATTTGAACCAGAGACCTCACCCTTATCAGGGGTGCGCTCTAACCAACTGAGCTAATAGCCCGTTCTAGTTTCTAGAACCTAATTCGACGAAACCCTTAGGGTTTCGTCGAATTAGGTTAGCTTATTTATAATAAATTTGCCACCAGCTTTTAGGCCGTCACCACCAGCAGCTATACAACCCCAAAAAGTACCATAATTTTTACAGTACCATCGAATAGTTCTACAACAAACTGTGACACTACCAGTTACAACAGTAAGATGTGTTGTGGTTGGAATATTTCCTAAAACCATACCAGCCGCCGACGACACACTACCAATCACGTCGATTGTAGTACATATGTAATCTCCACAAGCTGCATCTTCCAATGCATGGCTAGTACCGATTACGACATCAGCTCCAGATAGTCCAGTCTTTAGAATTTTAGCTGTTTTTTCAGCTCCTTCGACCCCACCCCAAACGGTTGCATTAAGCCCGCGTGCAATATCACAAGTTGTTTTGATTAGTTCTCGAACCATATTGTTATATTGTTATATTTTTATATTTTTTTTAAAGGAGGTGATCCAACCGCACCTTCCAGTACGGTTACCTTGTTACGACTTCACCCCAGTCACTAATTCTACCTTAGGCATCCTCCTCCAAATGGTTAGAGTAACGACTTCGGGCATAACCAGCTTCCATGGTGTGACGGGCGGTGTGTACAAGGCCCGGGAACGAATTCACCGCTGTGTAGCTGACCAGCGATTACTAGCGATTCCAACTTCATGCAGGCGAGTTGCAGCCTACAATCCGAACTTAGAATGAGTTTTTAGATTAGCTTGTCTTTACAGATTTGCATCTCATTGTCTCACCCATTGTAGCACGTGTGTAGCCCAGGGTGTAAGGGGCATGCTGACTTGACGTCATCCCCGCCTTCCTCCGGTTTATAACCAGCAGTCTTTCTAGAGTTCCATACGGCAACTAAAAATGAGGGTTGCGCTCGTTGCGGGACTTAACCCAACATCTCACGACACGAGCTGACGACAGCCATGCACCACCTGTGTATACGTTCCAAAAGGCACTTTCTTCTTTCAAAGAAATTCGTATCATGTCAAACCCTGGTAAGGTTCTTCGCGTTGCATCGAATTAAACCACATGCTCCACCGCTTGTGCGGGCCCCCGTCAATTCCTTTGAGTTTCACTCTTGCGAGCATACTTCCCAGGCGGGATACTTAACGCGTTAGCTTTGATACTGCACAGGTCGATCTGTTCAACATCTAGTATCCATTGTTTACGGCTAGGACTACTGGGGTATCTAATCCCATTTGCTACCCTAGCTTTCGTCTCTGAGTGTCAGTAATAGCCCAGTAAAGTGCCTTCGCCATCGGTGTTCTTTCCAATCTCTACGCATTTCACCGCTCCACTGGAAATTCCCTTTACCCCTACTATACTCTAGTCTAATAGTTTCGACTGCGATTTTGAAGTTGAGCTTCAAGATTTAACAGTTGACTTATCAAACCACCTACAGACGCTTTACGCCCAGTGATTCCGGATAACACTTGCATCCTCCGTCTTACCGCGGCTGCTGGCACGGAGTTAGCCGATGCTTATTCTTCAGGTACACGTCATTGATTCCTCCCTGAAAAAAGAGGTTTACAACCCATAGGCAGTCATCCCTCACGCGAGATTGCTCCGTCAGGCTTTCGCCCATTGCGGAAAATTCCCCACTGCTGCCTCCCGTAGGAGTCTGGACCGTGTCTCAGTTCCAGTGTGTCTGATCGTCCTCTCAAACCAGATACTGATCGTCGCCTTGGTGAGCCATTACCTCACCAACAAGCTAATCAGCCGCAAGCTTCTCTCTAGGCGGAAAAATCCATTTCACTCGAAAGCATATGGGGTATTAGCAGCTGTTTCCCTCTGTTGTCCCCCTCCTAAAGGCAAATTCTTACGTGTTACTCACCCGTCCGCCACTTGAGTTTCAAACTCTCGTACGACTTGCATGTGTAAAGCATCTCGCCAGCGTTCATCCTGAGCCAGGATCAAACTCTCTTTCAATTTCCATAAATTTAATTTTAAACTTCCTTCAAGAAGTTAATCACTCATAAAGTTAAAGAGTAAGATACAAAAGAATGAAAAAAAAAGATTCAAAATCCTTTAAATAGTAAAAACTTTAAAAACTGTTTTACTTTTTATGATTTAAAAATTTAAAAAGATAAACAAAAGTATTTTTCTTTTCGACGCAATAATTAGGAATCACTCCACATTGTGATGATTCCTAATTTTCAATTTTTTCTCACCAAACAAAACTAATTTCTAGTTGTCTATTTTTATTACCCAAGCCAGTCAGGCAAAACCCAAGGTCGTTCAATTATACCGAGCCGAAAGGCAAGATGAATTGAATCGTGTGCAAATTGGGCCATCCTTGTAGAAACTTCATCAGGAATAAAGTTTATTTCTAAATCTTTATAGGCTGTTTCCATATAATTCAAAATATCCGGTCGTTGATAAAACCAAAATTCTCGGATATCATTTGGAATCGGATATCTATACCATAAAATAGGTAAATAATGAAAAACTAAAACATCTTTCATTTCATTGTTAATTACTAATTTTGTTTCTTCCGCTTCACTTGGAAGAAAAGGCATTGTAAATACTAAATGATTTAAACTGTCGGCTACAACTCCTAGTGCTCCAAGGAAAACGCTTCCAGTGACATTGACACCGAGTACAGAAGGAACAATTCCCTGAAGAACATCTTCGGTCCAATCTACGGCAGCTGCTAGATACGACCATGGAAATGTATAAGGATTAATCCAAATAAGCCAAGAAATAGCAATCCGAAGAAGAACCATTTGAGAATAAAGGACAAGACCAATGAATAAGACTTCGCGAATAATTTCTAGCGAACTAATATCTAAACAAATATGTAATCGAACTTGAATAAATTCAGAAAGCCAATCTGGTAAAAAGAAAATATTTTTATAATTTTCAATATAAAAATTATAAAATCCTTCCTCCTTCGTTTCATAAATATAACGAGGAAGAACTTCAACTCGTGGTGCTGGCCCGAAAATTGTTTCAAACCAAGTTTCGGGACGTTGGGCAGGAGGAAAATAGGTTACTCGTTTTGGAAGATCATTAAAAAACTGAGAGCGCTCATCTACTCCACCGGAAATTGTGGAAAGAGTTGGCAAACCCGGATTTTCTGGATATCCAAAAAATTGAGCTAGGCTTTCGAAGAATTTTCCCACTATCTCATAAAATCCAGTTCGAACAGAAACAAATTTTTCATCTAAACTCATTTTGAAATCGTAGTACGTAAATAAAAATCAGGGTTTAAGATACCCTCCAATGGAACATAAATATATAGAAGTATATGCCTATAGCTTATAGCATACTGAAAAATTGTCGGATTGAAAAGGAAAAAGTAGACACAATTTTCTTTGACAAAATTTGAGAATATCTAGGAAACTAGTATCAAAGATATTCAACGATGACCCGCGGAATCCCAATTTTTAAAACGATTCTTGCTTTTCTCAACCGACTGGGAAAAACTTAAAATCAAATTAGTTTCCAAATTTTATTCTATCCAGCCTAATCCAATTATCTTGAAAGAATTTTCATGGATTGGTGAGATTTATCAATCTAGGGTAATGGAATGAAAAGTAAAACTCTAAAACCCACCCCAATTAGAAGAAACTGTCGAGCAATCTTCTTTGCGTGAAATTAGAAATAAAATTTTTTTATCCTTGCGTATTTTTCAAAAATAACTTATAATTGATCTTGGAAGTCAATTCGAACGGGATATAGCTCAGCTTGGTAGAGCACCTGCTTTGGGAGCAGGGGGTCGTAGGTTCAAATCCTACTATCCCGACTTAATTGTTTAGAAGCTACGGTTCAGGATACTTCAACGAGGCTTAGGTTGAAATCATTAACTAATTGGGATATTGAAAAAGATAAGTCTTTGGTAGAACTTCGAATGATTAGAAGGGATGATTTGTGAGAACAAGAAGTTAGTTCTAGAGACTTCGAGTTCGATTGAAATCATTCTTTGAAAGGTTCGCTAACAACAAAATGAATTCAATCTCGCTAGAAAAATGATTTGTTGATTGGGACCAAGCCCGTATCCGTAGAGAAGAGATAAAAGAAAGTCTGAAGACTATTTCTAGTTTGAGACGGAGGATTAAGAAGAAAGGATTTGGTAGAAGTTCGATACGTTTCTAGAAGTACTCTTGAGAGTGGACGAGATAGAATTTCCTTTTGTTAGTTATCACCCTTACTGCCTCGCTCCAAAGTATCCGAAACCATACTGGTAGATAATACTTCCGAGATTCCAACACATTTAGAGATCGATTTTGATTGAATTAGAAACTATCATTATTATTCAAAAGAATACAAAATAATTTAATCTTGCTTCCAACAAATGGTAATTTTTACTTGGAAGAAAAGTTTCCAATATCTAGAAACTTTCGTTTCTAGATATTGGAACTAAGTTTTAGTAACGGCCACCTTCAGGATTCGCTTGAACACTGTATGATTTAATTGTGTAGCGAATGAAACGACCTGGACCTTCACCACGTTCTAAGTAGAAACCTGGTTCACTAGCAGGACGATTTACAATGAATGACATAACACAACTTTCTGTACCGTAACTTGCATCAAATGCATTTACACGGATATAACCAGCTGCGCATGATTTACGAGCTTCTTTTAATTCAAACATTACAGACGCAGGGTCTTTAATGTCAAATAATGGTAAACCCCATAATTCCCAGTAGTTATTACGAGGATGTGGATCATCTGTCCACTCAACGTTCATTGCCCAACCTTTACTAATTGCATAAGCAATTTGTTTTTCAATTTGTTGATCAGTTAAATCTGGTAAAAACGAGAAACAACCTTGTGTAAGTCTCACTATTCGAATACTCCTTTAATTTTTTAAAAGTAACTAAATTATACGTTTGCTGTTGGTGTCGCAGCGAAATCAGCCGTATCTGTAGATGTGTAGTTAAAACTAATATCTTTCCATAAATCTAAAGCTGTTTGTAAAGGACCACATGTTTTTGCAGCATTACGTAAGATAACAGGGCCAACTTCATTGTTGAAGTAATCAGCACCTTCATTACGAGCTAAGATCATTGCTTCTAAAGCAACACGGTTTGCAGTAGCACCCGCTTGGATACCATCTGGGTGACCAATTGTACCACCACCAAATTGTAATACTACGTCATCACCTAAGTAGTGTACTAATTGGTGCATTTGACCACAGTGAATACCACCTGATGCAACTGGCATACAACGACGTAAACTAGCCCAAGACATTTCGAAGAAAAGACCATATGGTAAGTTTACTTCTAATTGAGTTAAACGTAATGTATCGTAGAAACCTTTAATCATTAAAGGATCACCTTCTAATTTACCTACAACTGTTCCAGCGTGAATGTGATCTACACCAGACATACGCATCCATTTACAAATAACACGGAAGTTAATACCATGATTTTTTTGACGCGCGTATGTAGAGTTACCTGCACGGTGTAAGTGTAAAATCATATCGTTATCACGAGCCCAAATAGCAGCACTTTGAATTGCTGTATAACCCATAACTAAATCGATCATCACAATTACAGAACCTACTTCTTTTGCATACTCACAACGTTTGTAGATTTCTTCCATAGTAGCAGCAGTAACGTTTAAGTAAGAACCTTTTACTTCACCTGTCGCAGCAGATGCACGGTTAATACCTTCCATACAGTTTAAGAAACGCTCTCTCCAACGCATAAATGGTTGTGAGTTAATATTCTCATCATCTTTTAAGAAGTCTAATCCACCTTTTAAACCTTCATAAACTACACGACCATAGTTTTTACCAGATAAACCTAATTTTGGTTTTACTGTTGCACCTAATAATGGTGTACCGTATTTGTTTAAACGCTCACGTTCTACAACAATACCTGTTGCAGGACCTTGGAATGTTTTTAAATATGAGTGAGGAATACGCATATCTTCTAAACGTAAAGCTGATACAGCTTTAAAACCAAAAACGTTACCAATGATAGATGCTGTTAAGTTCGATAATGAACCTTCTTCGAATAAATCACATTCATATGCGATAAATGCAAAGTATTGATCTGTTGCATTTGGAACTGGATCTACACGGTAAGCTTTTGCACGGTAACGGTCACAAGCTGTTAATAAATCCGTCCATACAACTGTCCAAGTTGCAGTAGATGATTCACCCGCTACTGCCGCTGCAGCTTCTACAGGATCTACACCTGGTTGTGGTGTAATACGGAATAATGCAAGAACATCAGTAGTTTTTACTGCGTATGAAGCATCCCAGTAACCCATTTTAGCGTAAGGGATTACACCAGATTCGTAACGGTCACTTTTAATTCGAGTCCGTTCTGATACAGATTGAGACATTGATTTCTCCTTAGAATAAAAGGCAATATGTAATAGATAGTTAACTAATTTAGTTTGAAACTAGTTCTGTCGGTTGATTATTAATAGCTAAATAACTACTTAGCGACAACCTTACAACCGATTATAATAGTAGTTTATCTTATTGCTTTTATTATTATTTATTAAATTTAATATAACTTTTTAGAATGATTTTAATAAAAATTAAGATAGAAAGAAGAATAGTAGAAAAATTTTTTATAATAATCTCTAAAACATAACAGTAGTTTAACGAATTTTAAATCTAACTGTTTCTATATCTTACAATTTAATTATTATGATGAATCAATCAAATAAAGTTTTAAACACTAATATAACAAAATTAGTAAATAAAACTTATCAATACGGATTTTCAACGAAGATTGAAAAAGATATTATTAAAAAAGGATTAAATGAACAAACAATAAATCTAATTTCGGCAAAAAAGCAAGAGCCAAACTTTTTGCTCGAATTTCGATTAAAAGCTTATAAAAAATGGAAACGAATGTCAGAGCCAGAATGGGCATATTTGAAGTTTCCACAGATTGATTATCAGGAAATTATTTATTATTCCGCTCCAAAATCTCAAAAAAAATTGAAAGACTTGAATGAAGTCGATCCAGAGTTACTTCAAACTTTTGAAAAGTTAGGGATTTCTCTAAATGAACAAAAACGACTAGCAAACGTTGCTGTCGATGCTGTTTTTGATAGTGTCTCAATAGGAACAACGTTTCAAGATGAATTAAGTCAATATGGAATTATTTTTTCATCAATTTCGGAAGCTATCCAAGAGTCTTCTGAATTAATTCAAAAATACTTAGGTTCTGTTGTCCCAATCGGTGACAATTATTTTTCTGCTTTAAACTCGGCAGTCTTTACAGATGGATCATTTTGTTACATTCCGGAAAATACAATTTGCCCATTAGATCTTTCAACATATTTTCGAATCAATGACAAAGACTCGGGTCAGTTTGAAAGAACATTGGTAGTAGCTGAAAAGAATAGCCAAGTCAATTATTTAGAAGGATGTACTGCCCCGCAATATGATACAAATCAACTTCATGCAGCAATTGTTGAATTAATTGCTTTAGAAAAGGCAACTATAAAATATTCTACTGTTCAAAATTGGTATTCCGGAAACGAATATGGAGATGGTGGTATTTATAACTTTGTGACAAAACGCGGATTATGTGTAGGAACAAACTCAAAAATTTCTTGGACACAGGTTGAAACAGGTTCAGCAATTACTTGGAAATATCCAAGCTGTATATTAATGGGTGATAATTCGCGAGGTGAATTCTATTCCGTTGCTTTAACAAATAATTATCAACAAGCAGATACTGGAACTAAAATGGTTCATATTGGACAGAATTCACGGAGCCGAATCATATCCAAAGGTATTTCAGCAGGCAAATCAAAAAATAGTTATCGCGGATTTGTTAATGTAATGAATAAAGCACATGGGGCTCGAAATTATTCACAATGTGATTCCTTATTAATTGGAAATTTATCAAATGCAAATACATTTCCTATTATTTCAGTTCAAAATTCAACTACCAAAATTGAACATGAAGCATCGACATCAAAAATTGGAGAAGAACAAATTTTTTATTTTCTACAACGGGGAATTGAATTAGAAAAAGCTGTGGAATTAATGATCAGTGGATTTTGTCGTGAAATTTTTACAGAATTACCGCTCGAATTTGCTGCCGAAGCAGATAATTTATTAACTTTAAAATTAGAAGGAAGTATTGGCTAATGAACTTAAGTTTACCTCTTTTAGAAGTCAAGAATTTAAACGTTTCTATTAATAATAATGAAATTTTAAAAGATTTTAATTTAACGATTAATCCAGGAGAAATCCATGCAATTATGGGACCAAATGGATCTGGCAAAAGTACATTTTCAAAAGTTTTAGCGGGACATCCAGCATATTCGGTCCTAAATGGCGATATCTTTTTTAAGGGATCTAGCATACTCGAATTAGAACCTGAACAGCGATCGCATCTCGGAATTTTTTTAGCTTTTCAATATCCAATTGAAATTCCTGGAGTTAGTAATGAAGATTTTTTAAGATTAGCTTACAACTCAAAACAAAAATTTTATAATAAACCAGAAGTCGACCCAATTGAATTCTTAAGTATTATGAACGAAAAACTACAGTTAGTTAATATGTCACCAATCTTTTTAAGTCGGAATGTGAATGAAGGATTTTCTGGCGGAGAAAAAAAACGAAATGAAATTTTACAAATGATTTTGCTAGATTCTGAGCTAGCGATTTTAGATGAAACAGATTCTGGATTAGATATTGATGCACTTAAAACAATTTCTGCAGGAATTAATAATTTTATGACATCGTCTAAATCAATTTTATTAATTACTCATTATCAACGATTATTAGATTATATTAAACCGACCTATGTTCATGTTATGC